GTTTATAAAGTGTTTCTAACAGACAGTTTCATAGTCTTTCAAGATAAGCACTAAAAGGAGTTCTATTCCCATTTTCTAGACGCAGGGAAAGGTTTGGAGTGTGGGTCCCCCTCACAGCATGGGCAGGTCACACCTGATCTGTGGCTCTAGAACTTGACTCGACATCTCAACCTCAAAGCCTTGGTTCTTCTCGCTGAGCCTCAACGGCAGTCACTGGGGACTCCTCTCTGTTCATTCCCCAACTTATTATTTTTCCCATCACCAAGGTTCTTGGGAAACGCCTATGGTTATAGGAGATTCTTAAAGTTGCCTGACAGGTTGTCTTAGTTTTAGGGGGAAAAAAAAAGGCAGCACCTTCCGGTGTGTTTTGGGTTACAAATACCATTCTCAGCCCATCTTAAACAAAGACAGAGCAATGTGATATCACCAAGCTCTCACTTCCCTGAACAAAGACAGAGTAAAAGAAACGCAGAGGACACGGGGGCTGAACTTAAGGTGCTCATGAGCGATGTCTTTAATACTCATGAGAGCTGTTTAATGAGCTCCTCGGCTTTGAGGGTATCCGGGAAGGATCATGTTTGCTCACTCTTTCAGAAAGGGAATAATGAGCTTTTTCTCCCAAGACAAGTCTTAGTGAAGTAGATCCTGTCAAGATTCTTAAAACAGGAACTGATGGAAGGAAGGAAGGAAACGGACATGGCTTTAAACTTTTAGACAAGAGTGGATTTTCTCAACTTGCTTTAGTAAAAAGTAACAGGTAACTTGTTTTCAAACTGGCTTCTGTACTGTACTCCCTAAGAGAAATGCATTGCAAGTCAGAAGGACTTGAAGCTCTCCAGGGAGCTTGAGAAAAGTCTTGAACACATTCTGGCAAAGCTGTTAAAATGTTCGGGAGTTTACATGCATGTCAAATGACACAGTTCCTCAACTATCATGTTCATGCAAACTGGAATTTATGTCAGAAATACAAATACAACCTTTATAAACCTGAAGTAAAAGGAGCTGTACCCTTCCTTGGAATAAAAAAAAAAATGCTACTGAGATTAGCTGTACCCTTCCTTGGAATAAAAAAAAAAAAAGGCTACTGATATGAATACATATTAGATTTCATTTCATTTCCTCCCCAAAGCAAATTGGTTTATTTCGTCTGTTCATTCATTCAACAAATATTTATGGAGTGCTGAGAATATGGGCACGGACGATTCAGTGGTTACAAGATACGACACAAATCCCACTTCCCCAGGAGCTCACACTCCAGTGGGAAAATTCACATGTAAAAAAATATTGGGTTGTCGGAAAAGTCATGACACATTTTTGCATTGAAAAACAGGAAAAATACGCCATGACTTTTCCGACAACCCAGCATTAATAGAGACATACATTTCCGGTCAGGATGGGGTACTAGGGAGCAAATTTACTCTCACACCTGACACAACCAAGACAGAAAAACCAAATGATGCATGAAACAATGGTTTTCAAGACACTGAACATCAGGCACCGAAGACACGGATCCCGGGGGACAAACCACAAACAAGGTGAGTCCTACAATTCCCATCTACTACCTAGAAAGGCTTTCTAGGCTGCATGGTGAAGGCCAATCCAGGCAGAATTCAGTGGACTTCAGAATTCAAGAGACAGAGCAGAGGGCCTGGGGAGACCGAGGAAGGACAGAGTTCCAGAGAGGAGAGAGCTGCACAGAGAACTTCAGGTATCTGGAGAGAGTCCCCCTCCAGTGTTCAAGAGCGTCCTGAGCAATGAGGGCCGGGGAAAGAATCGCCCGAAAGAGAGGAACAGCGCTCAGTACTCACATAAGGAACAGAGCCTACTTCCTTCGGTCAGACTGGAAAAACTCATAATTCATGGGATGGGGCTAGGATACTCAGGAAAATCAGCATTAGGGAATAACTTGCTCTGGGCGTAATAGATGACAAAAGCAAGATCCACAGGATCAAACTAATTCCAAGTCACTGAACTGCATGCCCAAACAAAGCTGAAGAATATCTACATGAAGACATATCCAGCTCTCAACCAGGTGAAGAAGTCTGGCATCTGATCAAAGATTACAAGGTATACAAAGAAACGGGAAAACAGGACTGATAATGAGGACTCATATCCAGAATCCATAAAGAACTCTCAATACTCAAAATCAAGAAAAACAAAACAACTTATATCTTAAAAAATGGTAGAGGAGGGCCAGCATGTGGTATAGTGGTTAAGGTGCTGGACTCTCATATGATCAACCACAGTTTGAGTCCCGGACCTGGCAGCTTGCTTTCTCTCTCTCTTTGCCCTATAGCAAAGTTAAAAACAATGAAAATAATAATAAACAAATAAAATTAAATAATTCTTTAAAACAACTAAATAAAGGTAGAAGGGCTGGCAAGTGGCATGGTGGTTAAGGGTACTGGACTCCCGGATCAAGTCCCGGACCTGGCAGCTTGCTTTCTCACTTTTTCTTTTACTCTCTCTCTGTCCCTCTCTGGTCAATTTAAACTAAATAAATAAATAAATAAAGTTAAATAAAATAATTTTTAAAAAACTAAATAAAGGGACCAGCAGATGGCATAATAGTTATGTCGCTGGACTCCCACGTAATCGATGGTGGTTCTAGTCCCAGTGCTGGTGACTTAAACATGGTGGGCATGTGGGCATGCATGCCCAAATCACAAGAGGAGAATGCAAGAGAGGGGACTGTGGTGTGGGCATTCCCCCTGGGGGATGATGTATCGTTTTCTGTCTCTGTCTCTCTGGCAAGCACATGTGCTTCTACAGCAAAAATCTCTTTCTAAAAAAAAATTAAATAAAAATAAAAAACGGTGGGGACAGCAGATGGCATAGCAGTTACACTGCTGGATGCCCAAATGGCCAACCGCAGTACCAGGGGATTGAAAATCACACTGAGCATGTGTGCATATATGCCCCAGATCCCAGAAAGGGAATGGAGAAAGGATTGCAGCATGGCCATCCTCTCTGTACGGTGATATCTCACTTGCCCTCTCACTAGCTCTGTCTTTCTCTCTCAGGTGAGCACCCATGTGAGCACGCGTGGCCTAAGGAAAAAACCTCTAAACAATAAAATAAAAAATGGCAGAGGACTTGAACAGACAAATCAAAAAGATATATGAATGAAAAGCCTATGATACTCAACACTCTAAATCTTAAGGAGATGCAAATTAAAACCACAATGACATACCACTACACGCCTATTAGAATGCTGAAAAACTAAGAGTGACCAAACGAAATGATGGCAAACATGTGAAACAACTGGAACATTCAGATAAGAGGAGTCTTCAGAAAGTTCATGGAAAATATATATTCAGAAAATAACTATGCATGGATTTTTTTTCCCATTAATAAAACTTGTACTTTAATTCCACTTTCCTCATCTTTTTTTTAATTGCCAGAGCGTACTTGTGCTCACCAGAAACAAACAGAAAGCCCCAGTGGGGCATGGCTACATCCCAAACCTTTTTCCTCCATCTCTCCATCTTATCAGGATTTGGGGCACATACGTGCATGTATGTATACCTGGCATGTTTTTCAAACTCCACCGTCAGTATTTAAATCATAGTCTGCTGTGTTGAATCCAGCTCCCAGGGCATGGTGCTTAACTGCTGCACTACAGGGCCTACCCCAACCAACTTTTAAAAAAACTGTATTTATTTCTTTTTTCATGGGTGAGAAAGGAAGACAGAGAAGCACTAACCCTCCCAACAGGGTCCTGCAGTCATGATTCACTCCCAGCCTGACAAGCCTGGGTCTGGGGCACACTTGTGCCCAGTGTTCTCAGGGAGGTTCTCAGCTCTAAGAACCTGGAACCCTCAGATGTGCGCCAGCCTCAGCCTTACACCCCACCACTATGCCACTGTCCAGCCCTCCTCCCATAAATTTTTTGTCCTGCTGTGGGAATATACAGTAAAATGGTACCGCCACGTGGGAAGACAGTCCTGCAGTGTTGTAAAATGTGAAACATATACCCACCACACGGCTCAGTCACTCCTCTCTCTGTTATTTACTTAAGAGAAATGGAAGCATATGTCTCCACGAAGACTTGTACACAAATGTTCGTAACAGCTTTATTTGTAACAGCCCCAAACTGGAAACAACCCGATGCCCAACGATAGGTGAATGAAAAAATCTATTCAAAGGAATAGTATTCAGCAAACAAACAAATCGACTCTTCACGCACATCACGCCATGGATGAATGTCAAAATAATTACTAAGTGAAATAAGCCTGACAGAAAAGTAAGTACTTCTTTGCACAATTCGATTTTTGTCAAATTCTAGCCAATGCAAATTAACACACAGTGACAGGTATCAGATCAGTAGTTGCCTGAGGAAGGAGGATGGGAGTGGGATGGGTTGGAGGAAGGGACAACAAAGGGGCACAAGGACACTGGGGGGTGAGGGGTCAGTTCATTACCCCAACTGTGGTGACGGTTTCGCTTGGTGTGTATGTCAGCTCCTACCGCACTGAGCACTAGATATGAGCAGTCAAGTACATCTCAATAAAGCTAAAACAAATATGAATAGGCTCTATATTCCAGAGATTCTGGCAGAACTCATTTTCCTTTATGTAATAGATACACTTCAATAAAAATACCTTGGAGCTTTTATTATTATTATTTATTATTATTTGCCAGGAACACACCTGGCTTGCCAGAGAGGGACAGAGGGACATAGGGAGAGGTAGAAAGCATCCTCCAATGGGGTGTGGACATGGCGCAATCCCTTTGAGCTCCATTTCTCCATCCTGTTGTGATTTAGGCTATATACCCACAAATACTTGGAGTATTTTCCAAGCCCTCAGGGCTGGAATTTGAACCACATGGTTAGCTGCATGGTATCTGGCCCCCTTAAACACTAAGCCACAGGGCCAGCCAGTAGAACTTTACTTCCAAAGTTACAGCAGGGATATCAAAAGGCAGAAACATCAGCTCACAGGAAAATAATGTCGTATACACTACGAACAGTATTAAGTGAAAATGAGGAATTCAAATACAGTGAATGAAACCAAATTTACTGTAATTCTTAACAATGAATAAAACCACTTAGGGTAAATTATGTGGTGTCTGCTAGCAATCTCTGTCCTGCGTGCTGCTGTAGTTTCCTGTGGTGGCGCCCTGGGGTTCAGAAATCTGAACTGCAGTCTTCAGCTGTTCCTCAAGCTCCTCTATTAGAGCCCCACAGCTTCCAAGAGCCTGGGATGAGGCCAGTGGCTTTCCCTGGCTAACACCAGTGTTCTGGACGGCCATGTGTCCACCATCATCAATAAGCAGGGCACTGCTTTCTTCGACAAAGGGACCTTGCAGAGAATTGGCTGACTCGGGCTGACCATCTCTGAGCTCCTCTTGTTCCGAATCTGAATCCGAGTCTTCTGTTCCAGATGATGTCGTGCTATCCGATTCCTCTGAATCCCCTGCCTCAGGACTGGAGCAAAGAGCCTGCTGCCGGGAACCTGAATGGGCTGCTTTTAACTCAGCTTCTTCCTCCTGGACAAGAAGTGCTGCTGCTTCCAGCTCTTCCAGCTCCAATCCCAGCTGGGCCTTTGTAAGGGAGACCTCCTTTAAGGCTTCTGCAAGAGCTGCCAGTTTTTTGGACCTTGAAAAAATTTTAAGAAAAAATATTAAGACTATTCATTAACTGTTCTGGGGAGAATGGGAGATGTGTGTGTGTGTGTGTGTGTGTGTGTGTGTGTGTGTGTGTGTGTATAGTCTTCAAAAACCAACAAAACAGGACATCCACCATCCACATAGCCTAATGGTTAAGGAAGCCAGATCCCTTATGGCTGACTGTGGTTTGAGCCCTGGCCCTGGTAGCTTAAAAAATATGCCAGGTGTGTGTATGTGTGTGCACCAAATTACAAGAGAATAGAAAGATGGAGAAGGGATTGCACGAAACACCCTCTTCCCATTTCTTGCTGACAAGCACATCTGCCTTCTGGCAATTAAAAACAAAACAAAACAAAGGCGTGGTGGTTAGGGGCGCTGAACTCCCAAGAGGCCAACCACGGTCTGAGTCCCGGATCTGGCGGCTTGCTTTCTTTTTTCTCTCTTTCTGTTCCTCTCTGGTCAAATTGAAATAAATAAATAAATAAATAAATAAATAATTTTACATAAAATACTTCTTACAAAACAAAACAAATCAAATTGATACTTCACATAGTACACTAGGATCAATCCCAAAACAGATCAAAGATATACATGTGAAAAAATAAAGCTATTAGTGTATTTTGAAGAAACAGAGATTTCCTTTATGACCCCAAAATGAGGCAACTCTTTCCAAGGATAGCTCAAAATACACCCACTACAAAAGGCTGACAAATTCAGCTAAATAAAAACCAAAAACAAAAAAACATTATAAGCAAAGTCGAAAGGCTAAAATTGGGTCAAATATTTGCAATTCATATCACAGACCAAGGCCTAATTCCCCTAACAGAGTTCCTCCAAAAAATGGATATAGCAATCCAACAGAAAAATGGGCAAAAGATGCAAACAGACAATTCTCACATGAGGAAACACAAGTGACTCTAAAATCTATTAAAATATATTCAATCTCACTCAAAGAAGAGAAATACAAATCAAAGTCATATGGAGATATTTTCATTTATCAGACTGGCAAAGATCCCAACATTTGATAACATTCTGTTAGCAAGGCTCTGAGGGGGAAGACGTTTTCATACACTGTTGGAGGGAGATGAAACAGCTACATCCCCATGAAGAAAACTTGGCAAAAACTTTCAAAACTGAAAATGCACGTGCTCTGGAACTAGCAGGCCCCTACTGGAAGCTACCCACATGCAGTACATGTGCTACACGACACAGGTCTGAGGTTATTAATTTACTATAGTGGACGCTGTTTTTAATACCCCCCAAATGGGAAGGGAAAGACCAAACATTCTTTTTTTTGGAGAGGTTTTTGCTATAGGGCGCGTGCGCTCACCAGACAGACAGAGAGAGACAGAGAGACAGAAAACGAGAAATCACCCCCCAGGGGGGATGGTCACGCTGCAATCCCTTCTCCTCCATTCTCCTCTTGGGATCTTGGGCACGCACGCACATGCGCCCGGCGTGAATTTTAAGCCACCGGGTCCAGGACGCGAACCACGGTCGACTACATGGGAGTCCAGCGACATAGCCATTACGCTAACTGCTGGTTCCCAAGACCAAATATTCTTTTTTTTTTTTTGCGAGGCTTTTGCTATAGGGCGCGTGCGCTCACCCGACAGCCAGAGAGAGACTAAACATTTTTTTTTTTGGAGAGGCTTTTGCTATAGGGCGCGTGCGCTCACCAGACAGACAGAGAGAGACAGAGAGATAGAAAGTAAGAAATCACTCCCCAGGGGGGATGGGCACGCCGCAATCCCTTCTCCTCCATTCTCCTCTCGGGATCTTGGGCACGCACACACACGCTCCCGGCGTGAGTTTTAAGACACCAGGACGCGAACCGCGGTTGACTATGTTGGAGTCCAGCAACATAACCATTACGCTAACTGCTGGTTCCCCCAAACATTCTTGATATGAGACTGGTTAAAAGAGTTATGGCATATCCATATAGTTGTACAAAAAAGTAAGTTCCCTACGGGCAAATCCCAATAAATTGCTTAATGACAACAAAAGGCACACCGTATGTATATGCCATCCTTTAGATATACTGAAAACAGAAAAAACAGATACAGAAATACATATTTGTATGGGCTTGTATACTTATCAAGAGAATCTGGAAAGCAACGAAAATAGTAACATGTAGGGCATAAACTAGGAACATGAAGGATGGGAGTGAAAGGGAGTCTTTTCGCTGCATGTTGTTTTATTTTTTAAATGTACATGAATATAATACCCATTCTCACTCTTAAAATGTATCAAAAGGGGGAGAGAGGGATTATCAGAGAATGGCATGGAGTGCTTTTTCTTTTTTATCGGAAAATTTCATGTTGTTTTAGAGGATTCTTTTCTCTAAGTTACCTATAGATTTATAACATAGCATTGTATTGGATAGGTAAACTTTGCCTTATTAACTTGGATGCATTCAGCTGGGTTTTGTTTAAAAGGAACATATAATGCAAACTGCGGTTCTCCAAATACTCTCTCTTTACAAAAGAGGAAAATCTGACGTGACAACCCAGGAAAAGGTGGTAGTGCATACAATAAGCATGCTGACATGGTTCTAAGTTTCCCTAACTCCAAAGGTTAAAAATCATACAAAACATTAAATGTTGGAGGCCAGCAGGTAGCATAGTGGTTAAGGTGCTGGATTCTCACATGGCTGATGACAGTTCGAGTCCCGGACCCAGTAGATTGAAAGTCATATCAGGTACATGTGTGTGCATGCCCAAGATCCTGAGAAGAGGATAAGGGAGAGGGGACTGTAGTGTGGTCACCCTTTTTGGGATGATTTCTCACTTTCCCTTTCACTGTCCCTCTTATGGCAAAAAATGAAAATAAGATAGTGCCTCTGAGACCGATTTAATGAGGAATATTTACAAGATAAATTCATCTGCAAAAATATAGGCCATCCTTTTTTTTTTTTTTTGGGAGAGATTTTCACTGTAGTGCGCGTGCGCTCGCCAGACAGACAGAAAGAGACATAGAGACAGAAAGCGAGAAATCACTCCCCAGGGGGGATGGTCACGCCACAATCCCTTCTCCTCCATTCTCCTCTCGGGATCTTGGGCACGCACGCACATGCGCCCGGCGTGAGTTTTAAGCCACTGGGTCCGGGACACGAACCGCGGTCGACTACGTGGGAGTCCAGCGACATAGCCATTACGCTAACTGCTGGTTCCCTAGGCCATCCTTTAATACTGGGGAAAATAAGGCTTCATTTCAGTAGAGCTGATGTGAATAGATTGTACAATGGGAAATACTCAACAAAAATGGTATTTTTCTTTTACTTTTTTTTCAGGTCCTTCTCCCGCCCCCGTCATGGAGCACTTGCCAGAGAAAGAGAGAGAGAAAGAGAATCAATGAGAGGAGAAATCATTGTCTAGGGGGATGGCCGTGCCACAATCCCTTCTCTTCCATTTTCATCTTGGGATTTGGGGCACACATGCACACATGCCGGGCATGATTTTCTAACCACCAGGTCCAGGACTTAAAACACAGCTGGCCATGTGGGACTCCAGTGCCTTAACCATCATACCACCTGCGGGCCCCTAAGATGGTATTTTTCATCTAACTGCCCACATGTATCTGAGACCCTTTTTCCTTAAAACCCATAGTGTAATAATGAGTTTGCATAGGGACATGCCTCTCCTCCCACCACCGTGCCTTCACACATATTATCAGGCCACTGAAGCACCATCACAGAGTCTAAGGATAGGACGTGGGTGAACTGGACAAAGACAGCACCCATCACTGATGGGCACCTTTCTCTTAAGCAGGAAAGGTCCTGGGTTTCAGTGCTGGGATTTCCAGAGAACCTAGAAAAGGGGAGGTAGACAGGGAAAACTGGAAGGCAGGGTAAAAGGGCTGGAGTCAGTTAACAATCCACCAAAGGGCTCCAAACCCTGACTGAATTCTTATCTAGAAAGCTGTAAACAATGTCCACCATGTATCTGAACCCCTGACTCCAGTGGTAAAGGATCTGGGAAGAGCTGGTGGACCAGTTTAAAGCATCTCCAGCTCAAAGTCCCCTCAGCCTAGGAACTCGTTCACCACCATGCTTCTTGTCAAAGGAGAGTCCTCTCTGGGTAGTGACAGAGACTTAAGGGATAAAGAGCGATAAACATGGGAAAGAGCCAACACATTTCATATTTTTAACAGATATGACAAATACTCCCAACAATAGACAAGAGATGATATTCCACAAAAGCCATTGCAGCCTGACCCTAGCAACCACCTATGAATCAGTTTAAATATTATCCCTACATTATAGGTGAGGAAACAGAAGCTTGGAGGGGTTAAGAGAGCTACTGAGGTTCACCCAACTATAACAGTGGGAAGGATGAGCCATGTGACCCAACAGGAACTTGTGACTATGAACAGATGATGTCCGTCTGCATCTGTCAGGGCAAAGTTTGTTTCTCACTTGTAGCATTATATTATGGTTAAAGCGACCAGTCCATATAAAAAATGTAAAATAGATAACTACATGTTCATTCTTGATTCTTCCCCAAGCTGGACTATTCATTTATTCATTCATGCAGTCTTTAGACTGTGCCTCACTATGCCTCAATCCTCCCGCCTCACCTCATGAATAGGTGTTGCTTGGTGGGCCAAGAATCAAACTCTGGCCTCCTATGGTGGCCTCAGCCTGAGAAGCAGCAGTGTCTCACCAGTATGTACCACTGCTGCTGGACCTATTTCTCTTTCTCATTACCCCATTTTACTAAGTCTGGCTGGTTTGCTAAAATTCTGGTAGAAGTTTTAAGTGTGTAGAGTTCTCCTTCTGAAGAATGCTAGAATAAAAATGATTAAAATTTCAAGGTCGCATTGGTGCAGAATGAGACCCAGTCTAAAGAAAAAAGTAGGGTTTGTTTTTATTCATTTATTTGACACAGATAACTCAGTGATCACCATTCACAAAAACATAAGAGAATTTCTTTGGTGAAAGAAATTAAGCCATGAGGGAACCAGCAGTTAGCGTAATGGCTATGTCGC